GTTGGGGATGAGAGGAGCAGAGACCTGAGGTACGGGTAAGATGGAAGGATCACATTATCGGGCAATGGAAAGGACCAGATCCATTGCTAACCATGGGTCGAGGAAAAAAAGAGTCAAACCCCATATGGGTGCCTGCGAAAAACCTTAAGTGGGTAGGCCAGGATCCAACTGACTAGCATGACGGTCCATGGACAATAGTTTATGAGACAAAATTCTTCTCTTTCCATCTGAGGTGAAGGACCCAGTTTCTTGGCTTCATTGCCAGTCAGCCTCTTTGACAACTGGCTGATTGGCTAAAAGGTACATGGTTCCAGAAGTATTTCAACATGTCCTATGCCATGACTTGCTTTGTTTCTCTTGATAATGCTTATCTTTAAGTGTCTTTACCAGATAATTTGGAGACAGAGGACCCTCGGAAATGCCACGGCCCACCTCCACATGATTCGGACTCCCCCAGGACTCCCTCCGGTTGCTCATGCTTGGCTGAGTTAGGCAGAGACTAAGACTGTCACAGGCTGGCATTACCCATGCGGTTGCCCTTAATCATGATGCATTTTTAACCAAGGATGAGTAAGATGTCCCATGACAAGTACTCCTAAGACAGGACATGCACATGGCCAGGTGCATGGTCCAATGATGGGCAAGGCTTGATCAGAGGTGACACAACCTAAGACAGGCAAAAATGCATAAGATAAGAGGAAGAAGATAGCCATGTCTCCTCAGGGAGCTGCCTATGAGGTGGGTAACCCGTGAAATAAAGTCAGTCCAGTCTTAAAATAAAAATAAAAAGGGGGATATGTGGGAACCTAAAGGCACCACCTTGCATAGATCTGAAAGGAAATTACTGGGGGCACAGCCTGGCTTGCTTTGAAAGTCTGAAGAATACTTCCACACTGCTGAGGAGTGCATGATCAGCTCATGAATACACCCATGGGCGGGGGGGGGGGGTTCCAGGTGCCTTTATAAGCTTTGTAAAACCTGCAATAAATGAGTCCGTGCTTGACTAGACTCCCCGTTGCACCTGAGTGTCCCCGGGTATTGGGGGCGGTGTGGGCTGGCAAACGATGTGCTTACTCATCCCCAATCATCACTGCATCGGGGGTCACTAGTTCGAACCCCTGCCACTCCTGTGTCTGAATGTGGCTCCACTGACACAGTCTCCTCACCAGGCCTGGGGTCCGGGACTGGGCAGAAGCGGTGACGACAGGAGGCAGCACAGGGCGAGCAAAAGAGCTGCCTCAGCACCGTGGGAGCAGAAGAGCGGCCTCAGCCCAGGGTGAGCGGAGAAGTAGCCTCAACGCCCATGAGAACAAAGGAGCGGGACCCGTGAGAACGGAGGAGCAGCCGCCGCTGGTGGTGACCACAGAAGACGAGTGGGGAAGGCTGGCTTCATGAGTGCACAATAGAAACAGAGTACAAAGATGTCTTTAAAGTAAGCAAATAACATTGACTTAGAACTACTGCACATTGGGTTTACTTCAAAGA